ATGAAAGTAAATTAAATTATAAATCATGAGGTAGAGTTCTCATTTTTTAATTAATTGGTCAATTTTAAGTGTATTTATTTATTTATTGCAACACTTATATATTTCTGCTTTTATGACTATGACAGTTTTTGTCCTCCATAATGAACCAGTGGACTGATCTTCTAGTGTGCTTTGGAACAGATGCACCTATATTATTTACTACAGAGTTTACTATATTGATGGTCTGAGCTAAAAGAGCATTTTATAAATCAGAAAGACAAAATTAAATTTGTTTGACTCATTGGTTGTTTCCAATTGGTTCAGCTTACTTATTTAACAGTAACTTTTTTCACTAAAATGTTATGAAAATCCACCTTRTAATTTGTTATGAGATCATGCCAGCACACACACACAGACAGCAAACACGCAGCAGTGATGATACACCTTTGCTCGAGCTTTGGGAGATGAAAATAAATAAATAAACTAAAGAGCCAGCCCTGTTGAAGACCGGTGTCGTTGCATAAGCACTTACATCACCAGCCTTTGCCTTCTGGCTATACTTGATAATATAGTCAGAGCACACTGCATGTGGTCACTTTGTTCCGTTATTATTTTTTATCCAAAAATAAATTGTAAAAACACTGAGTTTGTCTTAGTTTTGATTCACCACAAACATTTTGTTTATGAAAAGCTATATTTTCATCTGATAATACAGTTCAAAACTAATATAAGTAAATATATTGACATACGGAATTTATCAGGAAAAAAAGTGTAAAACTGGGGGACAATTTGACCCTAATCTTTCTGCTAAAGCAGGGTATTGATTTACTTTCAGATCCAAAATGTCAAGGAGCTCCGCTGAGACTGAATCACACAAATTTCAAACACACTTCTCAAAGTCTCAAGAGGCTTTCACTAATCAAAATCTGAGTTAAATTTCAGTGTGCTGAAATAAATCCACATGGGAGAAATAGCAGCAAATGATAAGTGTGATGTCAGAGCAAATCACACCAAGGGGTTTAAAATCAGTGGTGTACTGGAGATGCAATAGCATAAATATTCTTTTATTTTAACATCACATATTTTATTAATATTAGCACTAACATCTTAATAAATAAAAATGGTGTTCAGTTATGCACATTTCAAAGGTTTTCTGCAACAAATGCATGTGATAACAAAAAAATAACCTCTGAGTTTATTCACATTCTATCCCATCAGTGTGCATGAGCTCCAACATTATGGACCTTTGTTCTTGGATCAATAGGAATAATAACTCTCCTTGTTATACATGACCTTTTTTGCCATTTTTGGAAGATGAACCAAATATTGCTGCAGTGATTTAAATAAAATATTGACCTGTTTGGAAAGACTTTCTACTCAGATGCTCACAATGGAATTTTACCAAAGTCTCCAAAGGACTCGAAATACATAGAAAACACACCGACCCATTAAATGAGTGCAGCACACGAGGACGCGTCTTCAAAGAGCATTTCAGGTAGAATTCAGATCCGTCCAATTACACTGAGGTGAGGAAGTACAAATTGTTTCTGTGTGCAACACGACTGCACAGTGTTTACAACACCTGCAGCAAAGGAAAGTGGTACTGTCTGTGCCTGATTAGAGTATACAAACACGCAGCCACAAAGAGATTTGTTTTGAATGCTGCATGGTAATTAGACTGCCTACTAATTAGGGGTCAGAAATAATTTGGAGCTTTTGTTGAAGATTAAAAACATACACAAAAAAAGCCATTTTTTGGATTTTGTATGAGAAATCAAAGGTATCATTCAAGGCTGCCGATGTGTTTCCTGTTTGAAACAAACAAGCAGTCTCGTTGTTCCCCATCCCACTCACTTCACAACTTGATATTTGACTGCTATCAAGAACTATTAAAACAATATCGTGAAACCCTTTATGATAATTATAACTCGCTAAGCATTGAGGAACAGAGAGCAACTCTGAACAATGATTCCATGCTTGACTTCTTTATTACGGCGAATATTGCCCCCTGTGTTCAGTCGGCTTCACCTCCGAGATGATTTGTCGAGGTTGATTAATTTTGAGGGGCGGATGTAATTAAAAGTCTGTCCAAGTAATTTCGGCCTAAAAGGAAATTAAACAAACACACACACACACACACACACACATGCTTGCACACGTGAGCACAGGCTTGCACACACACTACAAGGCCAGGTATGAAGTAATGACTATTGATTCAGAACTTGTTGGGTGGTTGCATGTGAACAACGTGAGTGCTCCTGTGACCAAAACCTTTTGCAAAATTACACTTTAGCAAAACAAACAAAAAAAATGATAGTACAGTAAAACACAATCATTTTACACAATTTCTAGATAATATTTTGACATAACCTTCTTTTTTCACTCCCACAGAGTTGGCATTTTCAGTTATTTGTGTGCATGTGTCTGCAGAAACAGTGGCATCATTCATGGCTAGACTAATCCATCAATAGGGCTTGTGCTGTGATATTAAAACCCTTTAAAGCCTGACCCTTTAAAAATAGTCAGAAAATTCCCATTTTTTTAGAACTGACGTTTATTGGGCCTTTAAACAAAATCCTTTTATTTATTTATTTTTTTTGCCACATCACTTTATTTATGATATATTTTTGTATCAAATCTGATAAACTGGGCTGTTTTGGTAACATTTTGCTCACAACAAAGTTAAATTAAGAAACAAAAGACAGTTTTGCCCATAACTTTTAACAAGTTTAGAATACTCTAGGAAGTTTACTTCTTTGTTGTTGTTGTTTTTTTTGTTTGTTTGTTTTGTTTCATTTTGTTTTTTACAATGAAGTTTTTACAGCCATTTATTTCACTTCATGGTAGGCACAAATACAGTTTCTGTCCTTGTTCAGGCACAGATGTACCTTACACTTTATAAAAAATGCCAACTATTATCATATTGATGACATTTTCTTACTTTCTTTTTTATCTCTTCTTCCTCAATTCTCTTTGACATCTAACACGTAAATAATTAGTCAGTACAGCGTAGAGATTGTAATTTCAAAGGAACCACTTTGAAAATAGCCTAAATGTGTTTTCAACTGGCATTTCAGTAATTAATCAATCATCCAAAATAGTGTGTGGTTGTATTGTGGCAAAAATACTGTTGATTAAATTACTAAAATTACTAAAAATGTCACATGACAATTCAGGACTGGAGCAACTCATACACCTGCAGTATCAAGTTTGATTCACAAATTTTTAACACGGTTTAACTGTACTATTAAAAACTATTTTTAAGTAATTATGCATTGTTTCAACACAGAATCTATTTATTAAAACAAAATGCAAACAATACTGATGTTATTCTTACCGTAACTTCCCCAAAATTAGCAAAAGTTTTCCTGAAAAAAAAACATGTGGATGACCTCATGTCAGCAGACATTTTGAAAAGGCAAAAAAAAAAAAAAAGTAGTTCCACTTCCTGCAGTACATTGTTAATCCACTAGAGGACAGAATACAAGTCTCACATGATAAACAACATGTTTTTGAGGAAAATATTGATCACATTGATAAAATATAGGTCATAGAATCCTGCGTAGCAAATATGATACAAATGGCRATATTTAACTGTGAGGTTGCACTAATTTTGGGTGCTGTTGCTGGCAACAAAATACAATTATTGTATTTGTCTACAGTGGTCAGATCAGATGTAATCATAAAATCTTGGCAAATTCAAATAGTTTTGTGTTTTAATTTGCACCAGGAAATCTTAACCCTAACCAAAACATTAGAGAATGAAATTGGCTCGTTACAAAGTCCAGATGTTCAGGTCAACACATCTGCCATCTCTCAGCAGCTATAAGACAAACTGGAACAAATCATTTTAGATCTTCTGATGGATGAATAATTCAACAACTAAAAGGTGGAATGCTGCCTTTGGGTCAGTGGTAAGTATTGGCATCAAGTGTTGGATGTGATCTTGTTGATGAGTGTTAGGATGGAGCMAGTTGATGGATCTGGGCCTTATTCTCAGTAACAAGGACACTGGACCAGTCTGTCGTGGTGATACCCCATGATGAGCTGAAGAGCGTCACAGAGGAGGGATTATGGGTTTCCCTCCTGAACTTACTGCCTTTGCAACCTAAACACAGATAAGCAGCAGAAAATAAAGGGATGGTTGCACATTTAATTAAATGCCAACTTTAAAGAGGAAATATTTCAGCTAATAAGAAAAGTAATTTTATTATAAAACGCAAAAACACCCAACATAAAATCCTTTACGGAACAGTAGTTTTTCCTCAACCTTG